CCGCCATTACCAAAGACCAACGAGAGCTTCACTTAGCTCGATTTCGATAATATCTCAAATGGGTTCTCTCCGGTTTCAATCGTCTTGGAGTGGTCTCAAGAATCTCTCCTTCACTATCAACCACACTCTCAATGAAGGTACCAAAAATAAAACCCTTGTTATTCTTGTGTTTTCAATGGCTATTTATTGGATTTAGAACCGAAGTTGTGAGAAAATACTTCAAAGGCATAATCTTAGCATCAAACACGCAGATGTAATCGTTCAAATTATTTAATTTGCAAATTTGACGAGTACATGAAAGAAAAATAGTATTAGAAGTCTATAATTTTTGTTTGGGTTAATTGCACATAGACCCCTTGTGCTAGCATGTTCTGCCGCTTATTACCCCTAAAGTTCGATGGCATATGAACCCCTGAACTGAATGACATTAGGTATTTTCATCTCCCTTTCCTTCCCCTCTGTGATTCGAAGCGAATTAAAATTTCAAATGGCGTTCAGTTCACTTTCAGTAAGTCTATCTGCCAATATCGAACTTAGGGGTAATAAGTGGCATGACGCGATAGTACCCCATGTATGTGCGATTATATTTTTCGCCTGAAAGATTAAGTACCGTGTTAAGCTCCAGATTTTGTATCGCCAGTAATAATTTTATCTTCTGCAGTTGTTAAACTTCACATCTTGCTGTTTGTACAAAATTTGATTTATTCCTATTCGGCCACCAGGACCCTTCAACTACAAATATCAGTCTCTGATGATAATGTCCCCATTTCACTTTTTTTTTTGCTGATTTTGTACTTATCCTAATCTTTGTACTACTTGTTTGTCTTTTTTGCATTACAGGGAAGAAGGATAAGTTTAGGGGTAAACGTGTGTATGCTTCATTATTCGGAGTTGGAGCTCCTGAAGCTTTGGTCATTGGAGTAGTAGCTCTGTTGGTCTTTGGTCCCAAAGGTCTAGCAGAGGTGAGCGCATTCTTTTTTTCTCTTATTCCACATTCGGTCAAGCATATCATAGCTAATTAGAAATTTTTGATAATGAAAATGCCTAACCGTTCAAGTAATGCACATGGTTGATGGAAGAGTAAGTGTTTAGTATTTATTGTTATTTATGGATTATTCGAATCAATTGTCCTCCTATAAGTTGAAACGTCTACAAGTATAAGAATATTGTGGTATCACTGAGGTACTTGATGATTGAAAAGTCTCGAGATTCCACTGCAATTCGTCGTAGTGGCAACTTTTTACATGGCATAATCACATGACTCCATTAATCAATGAGAGTGAATGAATATGTTCATTTAAGGTGTCATTTATTCTTGTGAGAACAGGATTTTATGAAAATGAGGAAGCACCTAAATGAATGTTCCATGGGGTTCACATGACCAAGTCGCAACATTTTCCCTGTATAAGAAGATGCAGGGTCTTCATGCAGTTCCTTTTACAATTCTCTCTCTCACAAGGGTCAACTAATTGCAGGTGGCTCGGAACTTGGGAAAGACTCTGCGCGCATTCCAGCCAACAATTAGAGAACTGCAGGTTAGTAGACTTTAGTATTTTAATTCCATATGATTCTCAGTTTGAGCTAGGCTTCCTAAACTATAGTAAATATAAATAGAAGCTAAGTCTTCTAAAAATGGCTGATTCAGCCTTGTGATTTATTTTCCTATTAGCGGTCCATACTGTTTTGACGGTTGTGATCTTTAGGATGTATCAAGGGAATTCAAGGGCACCCTAGAGAGGGAAATAGGGCTTGACGAATTTTCATCTTCTACAAACAACACATACAAGCCCACTTCATTTTCTAATGACAACCAACAAGCGACAGCTGACCCGAGTAAGTAAATCTCTTCTAGCTTATTCTGCTGGACTTTATCTTTTTCATTTCTATACACAAAAACATTCTATATGCTTTTCTTTTTATTTTATTTTTTACTTATTTATTTATTTTTTTATTTTTTGGGTTCTAAGCGCCTAAGCTTTTCTAAATATTCCCTCTTGGACTTACTTAAGACACCTTTTATTTTCATTTCCCCCCCTGCATCTATACATGTTAACACCTGGACTTTGATTAAATGTCAACTTAACTGAGAACTATAAGCAACACGTCTGGTTAGGTCCACTTCTTTAGTAGTTACCACAAGGTTCGTATCTTTGAAAATCAGAATTTTCTCTTAAATCATTAAAACTATCTCTTATCTGTCTACTCTGGCATATGCGTTTAGCTTCACATTAATAGGTGAAGGACCTGGTGAAGACGGTTTTGAGGCTATATAAATAATGAATGTTCATTTCTCTTCATTGAAAGTATTAATATAATGGGAACATTGTAAGTCAATTTATGCATGTAGTCAGTTGACAAATTTATATAAAAAAAACATCAGGTTATATGACTTCTCATTCTCTACATGAATCTGGGGCATTGGTTCAATAGTACAGTTCCATTTCTGGTTGAACTGTTGAGGTACCTTTGATTGAGAAAGAATGCTACTTGAAACATAGGCCATTAAGCTGTGGGTAGAAAACTCAAAGCGACTTATTTTCTCATGAGCAAAGGCTGCAGTTATGGTGCGGAAAAACACAGAAATCTATGGATAATATACTTGAAATACAATTGATCATTTAGACATGTTAGGGTGCAGAGAATAATCAAGTTGGATCTATAGAAGTTATGTGGAAATAGTTGCTAATGTAAGAGATTTCACATGACACCGATATGTGCATATCACAACAAAAAAGAAAATTTCTGTTGACATCGATATGTACACACTAAGATATCCTCTGTCGAGTTGTTTGTTATGTTGACCAATCTACCAGACACCAGTTTACAAGTACGAGCTTTGTTGTGGGAAAAAACAATAGACTTTCATAAGGAATTCGGTATCAGGATCATGTGATGTTAGATATTTATATTCTTTGATAGTAAATGTATATTTTCTTAGCATGCTTTTTCTTGCTTAGGTGCGTAAAAATCTATGTTGAGTAGTCATAACCAAGTGTGAGAGCAGATGTTTAACTCCTTTTAGATACATGAAATGATGAAAATCTCACCATGCTGAAAATTATTCTTGATTTTACATATGAATGAGGTTTTTATACACTCAACAGTTAGCTAGCACAGTACAGACCCGGGAAACAATATAATATGAACCTGTGCGACATGATGATGAACGTGGTAGATCTCTGTAACATTGGATGGAACATGAAAATAAATAAATCCTGATATAAAAAAGCGACAATACAAATTTTACCTTTTTATCATTTACTCTTAAGTTCAGTAGATTTGTTTGATGAATTTAGTCTTGTGGGCATTGTTCAGTTACTCATTAAAGGAACAGAACTTAGAACAAACACTTGTAGTGCAAACAACACCACTGCTAAAAAGGCATCAAAAGGGGACAACTTCTGCTTATTTTGATCTTTCGGTGTGGTGAGTTTATTTGGGATGTTCACTTTTGCATATTTTCTCTGCTTGTTTTATTTTAGGCTCCTTGAATATATGGTCTTTGTTCTATAATTATTTCTCCTGGGGGATTCTTGAATGTGCTGGCTATGCTGGCTTTTGAGTATTTGCGCAATGTTTTTACATCCTTCAGAAAACTTTCTTTGCTTTTGAAATCTATAGAAACATAGTGGGATCTTGTTTTTAGATTTGCGAACTCTCTATCAGAAAACATTTTGATACATCTCACCCATCTGCTGCGAGTAAGAATCTACTGATTGGAGTTGACTTAGTAAGCAACTTTACCAAATTGATGAATGTGTATAACACATCTGCAGGAGTTCTTGTAATATCAGGTGCGTATCCTTCAGTTTTTGACAGAGACTCTCAAGAAATCAGTTGAGAGGTGATAAATGCTAATAAATGAGTTGAGGAATGATAAACGTTATCAAAAGTAATATCTGCAATTTACCCTTTAAGAAATTCAACATACGGTAGTTGTGCTGGCCTTTAACATGAATGCTGGTGTCCTAGTCAGCAAGGGTTTGCAAACGTAATTGGTTCTTGTTTCTCGTAATCTCAATGCTAGTGTCCTGGTCAGCAAGGGTTTGCAAACGTAATTAGGTTCTTGTTTCTCATAATTTCATTCTTTAATTATGTGAAGGGTGCAGGCAAACTAAAAGCATTTGATGATAAAAATTAATGTGAACATGCAGATGGAACTACTAAATCTGCAGCTTACACGAGTGAAGACCTATTAAAGATTACTCAGGAGCAACTGGCTGCCTCTGCAAAAGGACCTCAAGCACAAGAAGGTTTACATTTCGATCCTGTATGCTATAATATACCTCCTATGCTATTCAGTATATAACATGCTGCAATGTGATTTTTTTAGATTCTGTGATGAGTACACCCTCAAAAATAACAAGCACTGGTACCCCAGCCTCTAGTGCCCAAACTCAACCGTCTGGAAAGGACGATAAGGAGACTCGACTATGATTGGAAAAGGCGTTGCACCGGAGAAATGATTCTTCAAATGAAGATTTGAGTTTTGGCTGTTAGCTTTCTGAACAGTTTATTTAGGTTCTATAGTTCAGGTCATGTATGTATATGATGTCATTATTTAGAGACAGGTGAGATCGAGGATGATGAATTTTTATTTAGAGACTTCCACTCTCTCTCCTGAGCTCTCAACTGGTTAGTGGTATCTGTAAATCCTGTAAGTTTGAGAACTTTGAAATCTGATCATTTAAGTAAGCAGTTTCCAAGGATAGCTGTGCATGATTCCTTATTATCATTACAGTAGGAGAAAAGCATTTGGTCCCTGAAAATGCAAAATGAAATATAATAAACAGGCTGGCAAAATGCTGCATAAAGTTAAATCAAATTTGTGTCAATGAAGAGGTAAATATAACTGCAACATGTGATTCTGTCATGAACAGGGATAAAAAAGCAACCCAATACTGGCATGATTTCAGCTAGAATTGAAGTCTAAACCTGGAGATCAGCTGATGTCTATTATTTAATCATACCATTCAATTAAACAAACATATTTCAAATAGCATTTGATACTTAATACAATAAGTAACTGTAAATTTTACATTCTGGACCACTGTAGTCCCTGTTGAAGAATTGCATTTTACTAAGTATCTACATTGTACTACTTGCAGTAAAATGCACTTGCCGACCAGTTAAAATCAAACTATCTGTATTCTTGGCAGTTACAGTTCTTAAATTGTTCCCAGCACCAGTCTCCTGCGCCATAAAATTTTACGCCTCCTTTCTCCTCATGATCATTTTCATCAAGCATCGCAATCAATCCTTGGATGCTGTAGTACCACTGTGAATCAAGATAACTGCCGACCAATATATCTTTAAGGTAGTTTATCCGTCCAAACATCTGGCTGAAACACTGTCATAGTTAAAAAAAAAACTGTCAAACTCAACGAAATGTAGAAGCAAGTTTTCCAACATCTAGAGTGCAGAGTGCATTCTAATATAAGATGAATATCAAAACAATAATATGCAAATCAACATCCAGGAAAGATCAACAAACCTACAAACTTATCATCTACAGTTACACGGTGACTAGTAATTCTAGAATCTTGATATTCAAATACTGAAAATAAGAGACAAATCAGACAAAGGGTTGCAAGTAAGGATGGAAGTGAACCAAATATTTAATAAACAATTCGGTTAATATTCGTCCAAATATTCGGTCATATTCGATCCGACAGTTCTTTAATACTAAATGAATATTTTTCAGTATTCGGCTTATAAACAAATAGAATTTAACTAAAGGCATATTCGATTCAGCTGATTATTAACTATTCGATAGTTTTTTATATGTTAATTCTATTAATTAAACTTGTTGAAAATATTACCCATCAAAATTTTTATTACAGCTTCTACCCCATATATAAATAGACATGTTAGAGAGACCTAGGGTTTTCACAATCTATGTAGCACGGACACAGATCCGACACGGCCATCCGACACGCCGACACGAAGCAAATCCTAAAAAATACATAGGATACGTGTGTTCGACACGTGTGTCCGACACGGACACGACACGACACGGCTTCATGTTATGCGTGTCCGTGCTTCATAGTTCACAATCACTAAGTCATTTCTTTCCGCCTCCAACCAAATACATTTTTCTCTCTCTCAGCTAGGGTTTCCTCCCTCTCCGACGACGCCATCCTCCCTACCCGCGACGACGCCCTCTTCCCTCTCCGACGACCTGCGCTCCTCTCTCTCCGATGCCCTCCTCCCTCTCTGACGACGCCCTCCTCCCTACCCGCGACGACGCCCTCCTCCCTCTCCGATGCCCTCCTCCCTCTCTGACGACGCCCTCCTCCCTACCCGCGACGACGCCCTCCTCCCTCTCCGACGCCCTGCGCTCCTCCTTCTCCGACGCCCTCCTCCCTCCACGATGTCCTCCTCCCTCTCCGACGACGCTATCTCGATCTCTTGACGAGCTCTCAGACCTCCATCAAAAGGTAATATAAATGAAGAATTTTCTTAGTCCCTCTCAAATTGCTACAGCTATGTAAGAGCTTGAGTGCTTAAAATGCTCTACCATAAGAACCCTAGTCAGTTCGTTAGAGAATATTCATGTTATACACACAATTGTTTCTTTCTGAAATTTTCTAATGTTATGGTCATAAATATGTTTGATTTTGTAATACACACTTTGTTCGACATGTTGTATTGATGATATTGATGTGATATTTCCTTCTTTCTTTGCTTATTATATTAAGTAAAAAATATAGTTGTACGTGAAAAGGTAATATAAACTTCAGAGTTGTGAAGCTAGCTGCTAAGGGACTGTTTGTGTATTTTTTTCATAAATTGAAAGATTATTCGCTTTTATTAATAAATGAGGATAGAAAACTATTTGTTGTGTAGACTGATTATATTACTATTTACTAAGGCTTGAGGAGCTAGTTAGTTTTTCTTTTTATATGGTGGTATTTAATGATTTATTTTCATAACATGATGCATGTTGATTTATGTACTATATTTTCTTTTTATATGGTGGTATTTAATGATTTATTTTCATAACATGATGCATGTTGATTTATGTACTATATATTCTGATTGTTAATTTTCAAAATTTGATTTATTTTCATAACATGATGCATGTTGATTTATGTACTATATATTCTGATTGTTAATTTTCAAAATTTATTTCTACAGAATGTCATATCCCCAAATGAATACAGCAAGTGATTCTCACTCTCTATCATTGTCATCTTCTGCTCCTGTTCATGCTTCTTCTCCTTCTTTAGCTACTCCCTCCAGTGACAATACAGATAATGCAAGTAGAGAAAATGTGGAGACTACAAATCCTATTCAGGAAAAGAGAAGGAAAAAAACTTCTGAGGTATGGGACAATTTTGTTGAAGTTACTTGTGCTAATAATGTTAAAAGATGGAAATGCCATCATTGCAAGCACGACTTTGCACAAAATTCAATTAGAACAACATCTCACTTGAAAACTCATTTAAATAATTGCATTGCAAAAAAGTTGCATGATCAAAGGCAACAAACACTTAACTTTCAACGAGATGGTTCTACTATAGAGCACCCAATCATGTTACCACTTGGAGGAAAATATAATCATTTGAAAGTTAGGGAAGCATTAGCTCATTGGGTCATGATGCATGAACATCCATTTACTGTAGCAGATGAGGAGGGTTTTCTATTCCTAATGATAACTATGAATCTTGAATTTATTAAACTTGGGCGTAAAACTTTGAAGGAAGATTGCATGACAATCTTTGAAAGTGAAAAGAATAAGATGAGGGGGCTCCTTAAAAACATGGATAGAGTTAGTTTAACCACTGATCTTTGGAAGTCGAAAAATAAAAAAATTGAATACATGGTAATTACAAAGTATTTTGTTGATAAGGATTGGAACCTACAAAAACCAGTTCTTAGTTTTGTGCATGTGCCTCCTCCTTGACGTGGTATTGACATTGCTGATGTTATGCGTAAGTGCTTCAAAGATTGGGGAATAGAAAATAAAATATTTACTATATCTGTGGATAATGCATCCTATAATGATGTTTGTTTAAGAACTTTGAAGATTGGCCTATCTAGAAATAAGAAATTGGTTTGTGATGGAAAAATATTTCAAGTGAGATGTTGTGCACATATTCTCAATCTTCTTGTCCAAGATGGGATTAGTGTAATTGCATCAACTATTGAGAATGTGCGGGAAAGCATCAAGTTCATCAATCACAGTGAAGCGAGGCTCAGAACATTTTCTGTTATTGTGCATTATGTATGTCAAATCTATTATAAGAAGTGTTAAAGTGTATTTTTTTATGTGAAAGTCTAATACTATATTTATGCATAAATTTTTTGTTTAACAGTTGCAGTTAAGAGAATAAGTTGAGTATCGATGTGCTAACTTGTTAGAATTCGACATACTTGATGTTGATCACAGCCCTGAAGTTCAAAGATGCATTTTCAATGTACAAAGAAAGAGAGTCCAATTATGATTGCATGCCAGAACCTAAAGAATGAGATAAAATGGAGAAAATTTGCAAGTTATTGGCCGTCTTTCATGCGGTAACGAATTTTATCCCCGGTAGTGACTATCCTACTTCTAATTTATATCTCATTGAAGTCTATAGGATTAAAGAAGTTATAGATAAGCCACTACTAGGTAATGATTTCTCTATTCGGCAAATGGCTAAAACATGCAAGATAAATTTGAAAAATATTAGGGAGAATGCAATTTGTTAATGGCAATAGCTTCTGTTATGGATCCTAGACTAAAAATGGGTACGGTTGAAATTTGTTATCCTCAAATTTACTTAGAAGTAGAAGCTAGGATAAATATACAGAAAGTTAAGGATGCCTTGCAAGAGCTATTTGATGAGTATGTTGATTTACATAATGCAAATAATGAGGAGAATAGCTTTCTGAATGGAGAAGGTTCTATGGGTGCATGGGTGCTCCGAGTGATACAAACTCCTCATTATAGTCTTTAAGTTCAAACTGGAGTGATATTTTGAAATTGGTGAGAAGGAAAGATATTATACCTGCATCCAAATCAGAGTTAGAAACATACTTGGATGAGCATGTATATATATGTGGTGAAGCAGAAAATTATCATTTTAGTGCTTTGAAATTTGAATTGGTGAAAAACTAATCAATTGAATTATCGTGTCTTGTCAAGAATGGCGGCTGATATTCTTGTTGTTCCTATTTCTACGGTGGCATCAGAGTCTACGTTTAGTGCTGGCGGGAGGGTAATTGATACGTATCGAGCATCTTTAGATCCAAAAACAATTAAAGCAGTGATATGTGGAGGGGATTGGATGCAAAAAGTCCATGGTATAAAGAAAAAGAAGGAAATGATTTATTTGAATTCAATGCAAAAATTAGAGTTCATAAAATTTATTGATATTGTGTTAATTTGTATGATTACAGGTTGAAGATGAGATAAGTGAAGTGGAGATTACCTTACCAGAATGTTAATTGCAGCTTGCATGTATGATTATATGTCTGAGTCATTTATTTTTATAGTTTGATAAGAACAAGACCATGTAGGGTTATGATGAGTTGCTTTTGCTCATTCCTTTATGTATCTGATCTTATCTATGCCTCTGTTTGCACCTACTCTTGAATATTTAATATCATTTTTTCATTCTCCAAGACTCTGTTTCACTTAGTTTAAGAGAAGTTTGCAAGTTACAGTATGCTCCTTTGTTACAAGACCAAAAACTAAATAAATACAAGTTGGTTTCCTGCCAACCAATAAGCATTGCACATCTTATCTTATGTTTGGGTTGATTAGTCCATTTATCCAGTACTTTAGCATTAACCTGCATGACAATATGAATGTGCATAAGCATCTGAAATTTTTTCCAAAACACTTTTTATTGGCTGCAACCTTTTAGGATAAGTCATTTGTTTGCCTTCCATGTGTGAATTCTCTAAGTGATTTTCTCAATTAGGCCTCTACAACTTGAAGTTGACAATCTCTTTTAATTATTATTTTTCCTTTTTGTTTTCATGTGATTGGTTTCAATTTTAAGGATCTGATCGACAAAAAGCATTGTATGAGGGCCAAAATAGCAAACTGTGCGAATCTGAAGTCTTAGAGAAACACTTTGTTCTTCAATGTGCTTTTGGAAAGTTATAAAAACCTGTTTATGTATGAGTTAAGATCTTGATGTGTAGCAAATTTCACTTTAGAGTACCTTTTCGTTTCCTATGTAAGAGGTAATGTGATACTGATCTACTGGGTAAGTTGGTAACTTGGTAATTGATATATTGTTGTAGTTGTGTCAAGGATTTTAGGCATGTTAAGAGCTTATGAAACTATGTTTTTCTTGCTGTATTTTATAGGAATGTTTTTCTAATTATGTGCTATGTTTTCTATTGTAGAAGATATTACTGTGTTTGTAAGTTTTGAGTATAAAAAAATATATTACACTGCTTTACTGTATTTTGATTGGCAGAGTATAAAAATTACATTTTGTTTACTGCTAATATTTATTTTTTATGATTTTTGAATTATTGGCAAATACATATCGGATATTTGACGAATAATTTGAAACCAAAGTTGCAGAATAATGCTAATCAAATATTTGCGAATTTTTTTCGAACATCGATATAAATAAACGAAGCGATTTTGAATTTGTATTACTATTCGAGTCGAATTCGAATACGAACACGGATAGCACCATATCAACTGAACTCGAATTTGAACCTTGCACTATTCGTTCAAATTCGATTCGATTCCACCCCTAGTTGCAAGATGCTTGCTCCAAGCATATACTAATTTGAGGAGTAAACACCAGCTTCCATAACAGCGTAACTCAACTGACAGAAACATTAAGCTGGAGCTAATGTTATGAACAAAGCACGTGATAAGGGAAAAAAGATGAACAAAGCAGAAAGTATCAATGGTATATTAGAAGCTGATGTAGCAAGGTGATTCTTGTCTGCAAATAAGAGACACGGGAACATGATAAATCACGTGATAAGGTATATTAAATAAAAAGTAAGCCCATGTAAAACAGTTGATGATTAATGCAGAATATTTAATATGCAAAAGAGATGCTTATAATAACAAAGGAAGTTGATAAAATTACCAAAGAAAAGGGAAACAATTGGGGTTAAACCTGTGAATAAGGATATCATATTTATGCCATGACAAATTATATACCTCGTAACTGATTTTTGGACAGCTTAAGATGTTGAAACTGCAATATTTCCTTCTGTCAGCAGCATTGTCCCAAGATCACAAGGTCCCGTACTGCAGGAACCACAAGTAGTTGTAAGCCCATGAAAGTTCTTTTCTTCATTCAGGATCATCTGTATTATATGAAGGGAACTCTGAATTACGAAGAGAGATCATATGTGATCAGCATGGCGAAGACTCTCTTTGCAGAGGACTGACTGACTCATAACAATTTATGGCTTTTAAGCATGAACACAGTTATAGGTAGGGTCAATACAATATTTGATTTGTGCATCTGGCATGATTTTGCAGTTTTAGAGATGTGAACATTTATGTTTGTGCGTCTAGAATGAATTTGCACAATGTGATATTTTTATTCCTATATTCTTATACAGGCAATTGTATGTGCAGAGCTTAACAGATCAGATATCAGATACATACTCACCATGGATACGCATAAACTTGGAAGAATCTCTTCATCTTAAGTGTATGTCAATATGCTTTAAAATACTGAAAAACCAGCCAAGTAATGTATCACGTTAGCCAGATATTAAGTTCTATGACAACAGATTATCTGTCAATATGGTTTGAAATAGTATGTTATTGTTATATTAAGTAGTTTTTCCTAAAACCTACAGACCGTAATTTTCAAATCCTACACTTTGACATGTTGCATAAACTGTTTTCAAGTGGGAGTTGACAAATACCGCGACTACTGAAAAAATTATATTTAAACTAACCATTCTCAGTATGTAAAATTTTTACCTTGCTTAGCACATGCATATCCATCAAGAAGGCATGAAAATCGAGATCCAATGCTTAACAATATTTCTCTTACTTTTCAAACTCTCTCCCCAAATTTCAAACCTAATGACAAAAATGTAAGAGCATCCGGCGAAATACCCTTCTCCAACATCAACTTGAAGACATCTTGTGCTTTATCTATGTGACCCATTTTCCGGTAACCATTAATAAGAGCAGAATAAGTTACAACATTGGGGGTGATTCCCAACTCAATCATTTTATCCATCAACTCCAAGGCATTATCCATCAAAAACAATCTACTATATCCATCTACCAAACATGTGTATGTATAAACATCAGGTGTTAAGCCCCTCTTCTCCATTTCTTCAACCATTTCCCATGCTTTCTTCATATTTTTACGTTTGCAATAACAAGCAACCAATGAAGTATATAAAATCTTGTCAGGAGTCATTTTCTCTTTTGTCCTCATTTCTTCAAATAATAATGAAGCTTCAGTCCTTTTGTCATCACGGCATAATCCACTCATAAGGCTAGTGTAAATAAAAATGTTTGGTGTGATACCCACCTTTAACATTCTAGCATAAAAGCTGAATGCTTCCCCCATGTTTCTCTTTTTAACACAATTTCCGATTAGGATGCTATAAACAACAACATCAGGGGGTATTCCTCTCTTCACCATGGATTCAAGAATCTCAGATGCCTCATTTGAGTTACCAGCTTTACAAAGTCCACTGATGATGGCATTATACGTAAACATGTTAGGAAGAATGCCTAGATCCTGAATCCCATTGTAGAACTCAAAACCTTGTAATACATTTTGATTTTTGCAAAATCCATCAACAATTACAGTGCAAGTGACAACATTTGGGATCACATCCTTGTCGATCATGTACTTAAAAAGCACCATAGCTTTCCTCAGGCATCCAATATGGCAGTAACCATAAATTAGACTGGTATAATTAAAGACATCAAGGCCAAATTTCTTTTCAATAATTGCCCAAATCATACGAGAAGCCATCATATCCCCTTTGTGACAGTAGCCATCAATTAAAATGCTATAAACAATTTGGTCATGCTCATATCCCAAATATCTGATTTTCTCAAATAAAATCAATGCACTTTCCATTTCTCCTGATGTACAAAGACCATCTAAAAACGAGCTATAACTGACAATGGTAGGTTTTATTCCATTGTTCAACATTTCCTCAATCAGGCTGAAGCTTTTCAAGTGATCACCATTCTTACAAAACCCATCAATCAAAATACTGTAACTGTACACATCAGGAGGTAATCCTGATTCCTTCATCTCATTAAAAACCTTAAGTGACTTTTGCAATCTATCCTCACTGCAGAATCCATTTAGCACGGCATTGTAGCAATATACATTACATGGCAAGCCTCGACGTCGCAACTTTCGAAGAAACTTCCATGCAAACTTCACCTTTCCCGCTCTGCAAAGCCCACGAATATATGTGGCATATGTGACCTCACTTGGCTCCACACCATCCCTTTCCATTTCTAGAAGAATCTCACTGGCTCCATCAACATCTACAACATCTCCTTTTGTGCACAAATCCATCATAATCGTGTAAGCATTGACATTAGGTGGAGGGCCGCAACTCTTCATATCACAAAACACACTCCAAGCGTTTTCCACCTCATTTCCATCAACCAAGCACTTGAGCAAGAAATTGCACAAGGGCACCCGAAATCTCAGCCTACTTGCCTTAGCCTCCGAATAGACCCTAAAAGCATATTCCAACATTGAGTTCTCCGCTAGAACTCGGATAACGATGTCGTAAGCTTTCAACAAGCAAATGGCACCATTCGAAAGACGAACTAACACAGAGAGCAACCCACGCAAACCAAAGGGGGCAATATTACTCTGGTAATAATCCAAAATACTCATAAATAGACAATTGACCTCACTATACATCCCTGCTAACTGGAATGTGCTAATAAGAACAGCAAATGACTCTAAGGAATCAGCGAACCCGTAACTACTAACTGCTTCTCGAAATCGAACCTTCTCTATGAAACTCCAATTCAGAGTGTGGACCACAATAGAAACACGGGGAAGAAGAGAAGGGCTTTTTTTAAATTTAGGGTTTTGGGTTTTCTTTGGACTGAAGTAATGATCATCGAAGCATGAAACCAAAGAGGAAGCTGAAGAAAATTGCCTCAGACTTTGAGATTTCTGAATGAGGGTTCGAGAAAAGAGTAGGGATTTCACCAATCTACCCATGGGCCAAAACTGATCTCGGGGTCCAACAAATGCCCATTAGATATCTCGCAGAATCAAACCCTAGTAAGAAAATACACAAGAAATTAATATCTGTATCCTATCGATAAAATTTTAAAAAGCCATCAGATTTACCTTTGGAAAACAAGCTGGATGAAGCAAATCGAATGGAAATTCTCCAAAGTAAAAATATGAAGTATATTTTTGCAGTGCAACTTCGATCAAAAGTAAATAAGGAAACTAAATTTTTTTTTAAATTAGAGAGGTTTAAGACTGGGGGCGAGGGTTTAGAGATTTTCGAGTTGAGTTGGGACCTTGCGGTCCCTAGATACGGGTTCTGGATACTTTCTGACTTTGAAGTGTCGTAAACGGGTCGGGTTTTTAATTTTGAGTTATCTGTCCATATTTAGTCGCTTACGAGTTTACTATTTTCAAATAGTTTCTAAAGTTTGATTTTTAAAAAAAAGTTTCTAACGTCATTGAGATTCCGATTTAGTCACTTAAATCGTATTGGTTATTTCAAATTACTCCCTATGGTCAGTTACAATTTGATTTTGAAGGAATATTTGATTCAATCACTTTTTAGCGTGAATTCAGAACGTGTTTGACAATTGGTCAGTATAGCCACTGAAATATGTTTAATAAATAATTTATTTTAACTTATAAGTCAAAATAGAAATAAAAATAAAAAATTAAGTTGGGATGACCCACTTTATTTTTTGATAGCTTATAAGCCACAAAGTTTGACTAAACCACAAAGTTTGACCAGTACCAGTCTACCCATTATCTTTTAAGAAAACTCCAAGCTCTCTTTCTCCATTCATGTCATTTTTTATCATTTTGATAACAAAAATAGATTATAAATCACTCATTTTGTCAAGCACTCTACTATTACAGATGGATTAAAAGACACTACATTTACCAAATACTTTGAATTATAATCTACTTGACATATAATCCATTTGTGGATCTTAAGCCAAATGAACTATAACCCATAGTTCCTGAGCATGCTCTCAGAAATATGCCTCTTTTTCAGTCACTCCAAGTTCAAACTCGTTCTTTTTTTCTTTTTTTCTTTTTAGACTCCATATCGGTTTAAAACCCAAACTCATTAAATTTTTTATTATTCCATGGTGATTATTACTTCTCCCTAACTCCATTTTACAACTCTCTGTCTTATTTCAACTCATCATGTGTGCTTACAACGATTAAATGAAAGTGGAAATGTAATTCACTAGTTAGCAACCAACACAAACATGAGTCGGTAGGTAATTCAGACGAAATTACTAGCGAAGGGATTAAATTTGAAATACAAGAGAGTAAAACGATAGAGCAAGCTCTTTATTTCTACTTTGAACTGACCAAGTAAGCGTCAAAACATTGTTCCAATTTCAGCGGTTACTACTCATAAAAAATAAATTAAAAAAAAAACATTTAGCAAACACTTCGATAAGAGAGAGGCAGCAAAAACTAGAAGGGTGCGTAAAATTATGTTCCTAACATCAAATGGTAAATTCTTCATATATGTCCTATTTCAACTTTATTGAGTACAACTGCAAACAATAGAAATACATTCCGATGATTGAAAACCAATAATTAATTATTAAAGTATTGCAGAATCATCTACAATAGGTCCAAAGACCAAAGGCTTTAAGGGGAAGTATGGAAATATATCAATCTCATCCATCGCATGGACAAACCATAGACCGAAAAACCCATTGCCAAGACAATTACTACTACCAAGTGAATCCAAATGCCAGTTCTAAAAAATATTTTTTTAAAAAAAAGATCACAAGTAGGAATGCCATTTCTCAATATTTTGTTGTAAGAAATAGAAACATATTGAGAAAGAATCCTGTTTTTCTTGAAACACCAGAGCAAGACGAGGAACATAAATTCATAAAACACGAATTCATTTAACGATATATACAAACATCTTAGATCTTGCAGCTCCCAGGATATCACTTTGTAAGGGGGGATATAATACAGGGTGATGTACCGTTTCAGCAGTTCCGAAAAAGCAAACCTCAGTTTATCATCAAATTCTTAAAGCTAAGCATTGCAGCTTGATTTGACATAGGTAGCCGTTTTTAAAGCTACTTGGTCAAGTAATATATGAACAAGAAAAGAGCCACAAAAGATGCGATGAGGGTAGCCATTCTGCGACTGGATTTGGTCTCAAACACCTGGTAATGAATGATGCTTAATAAAATTAGCAGAAAAGGGAAGAAAGAGATCTCGTTAGAAATAAGGCCAAACTTTCCGTTTCTTCAAGCACAGGTCAAGATTTGGATCTCCCCATCTTTGTTTTTTTCCTTCCTCTTTAAATTTTTTTTTTCAAATGTCATGTATTGTCTACTGATTCTTCTAATGCTAAGAAATTATGAAATTTCAGATCAATGTACCAAGACGGTTTCTAACTCATTCAGTTCAAGTGATTTATTGTAGTTCAAGAGCAATTACACGGAAAACACTACAACCCCAAAACCCTGGAGGGAGATTATGGTTCAAGATCAACAGTGTTAAAGTTGGGGGTTTCATGGGAAAAGATAGGGGGTTAGTGGAAAATTGAAGTGTTTTTTTTTTGGGTGGTGGGGGGTGGGGGTGGGGGTGGGCGAAGGAGATTGTGGTGCGCATCAGCCCGGTCCCAAACTGTATGATCGCATCAGGAGAATGGGATATTTCTGGCCAACGATGGTTCGAGATGCAATTGAACACGCACGAGAATGCCACGCTTGTCAGATACACGCAAATTATATGCATCAACCGCCAGAGCAGTTGCACAAGTCAACCACGTCATGGCCGTTCGAAACATGGGGTATGGACATTGTCGGTCCTATTTTTCCCCCTTCAGTCTAAAAATCATAAAGCTAAGTTTTAAAACTTGTTACCATCTTGAATCGGTCCATAGTGCCAGAGAGGACGCCCCTTGATGCATCCATGTCATTACCCTAAAAGCAAAGCAAGCAGCTAAGTTGGCATTTATTCAGTAAAAATGTATAAGAAAACGAGAGAAGTGGGGGTACCATTCGATCAAGCACACGATTATGGCTTTCAACCTCTTCATGTATATCTCCAGTCAACTGAGAGAGAAATCAGTTCCATCAATTTATGTTATATTTTGAAAAATCAGTAGAGCAAAAAAAATGTTAGCTGCGATGCAGATTGTGCTGCGAACACCATTAGCATGAAGCCAAGGGTGAAAAATCGAGAAGCACAGAAAGCTAAGTTTGAGATTACATAATGGAACTGTTAAATACTTGAGCCATGTTCCCTCATTATCTTAAGACTTCAGCAAATAGAAGCTTATAGAGGCTAAAAAATAGAGGGTCAGTGGTATTTTCTCTATCCTTGGTACTAAGTAACAAACATTAAATAGTAAATACTAATATAGATAATTAAGTATTAACGTTTGAAGTTCAAATAGCATGTCCCCAAAGTGATAAAGGTATTTAGGTACACTACAAAATAAACGAGACTGGGACGATAAACTCGGCAAAGCACTCTGGGCTTACCGCACCACCATACGCACGCCCACAGGTGCCACCCCGTATTCGTTGGTATACGGATGTGAAGCTGTGCTACCATTGGAGATTCAAATCCCATCCCTTCGGATTGCTCTCGCAACTGAGATGACAACAGAAGAACAGCATCAAAAACGTCTCGAAGAACTCGAGAGGTTGGATGAAAAGCGCTTGGAGGCTCAACAACAAATTGAGTTATATCAAGCCAGAATATCCAGGGCTTTTAACAAAAGAGTCCGACAGAAAAGTTTCAAGGAAGGAGATCTGGTCCTCGCTGCTCGCCGACCAATAATCCTCAATTCCAAGAAGAAAGGTAAACTCGAACCCAAGTGGGAAGGACCGTTTGTGATAGACACAGTCTACTCAAACGGTGCATGTCGCCTGATTACTCAAGAAGGCACCAGGTAATTAATGCCAATAAATGGGAAGTTCCTAAAAAAGTACTATCCCTAATATATTCAGGATAACCCATTTACCGAGAAGTTCCTTGAAGAATATTACACTTAATATTCTAGAGGATAACCCAAAATCTTTCTTTTCACCACCAAAATCCCTCACTGATCAATTTCAATTGACAGTGGGTCCATTAAAAATGTCTTTCTGGCCCTCTTGACTCTTTCCATGAACAAGAGGTCCACTTTAATTTCGGAGTCCCTTTCGATAAACGAAAGAACTCCCTTCTTCTTCTCTTTGGTTAAGCCCTCTCATGGCTATAACCGAAGTTGAAGTTTCACTTCGATAAACGAAGAACTCTTTTTTCAGTTTAGATAACCAATCCTATAAAAGGCAGGTTTGTCTAGATTTTCCAGATTCTCGGAGTGGAGATCCCACTTCTAGTTTCTTTTGCGCTGGAAATAGAATATAAAATTCTCCCTTTCCAGAATCAAGGAATAGAATATAAAATTCTTCCTTCCTTGTTATTCAGGTTTGTCTTCACCCTAAAAGAAGACCGGGAAATAGAATATAAAATTCTTCCTTTCCCGCACCGATCTTTCCAAAATTTGTCAATTTAGGATTCATCCTAGGAAGTTTATCCCGAATCCTAAGCAGGGATAAGTCTGCGCCTAACACGCGCTGCCGGTTTAGTCTTTTTCCATAGAAAAAGACACCAGAGTTCAATTCTGGGGTATCCTATCCTGAAACCTAAGCAAGGATAAGTCGGTGCTTAACTCACGCCGCCGGTTAGTTCTTAACCGTTAAAAAGAACACCCGTTCACATATTCAATATTGTGACAGGTTGTTAAATAGAGGTAGGCACTTTTCACAGTTTGCCACACAGGCCTTAGGCGAGCTCTTGAGGCATCAAGTTGAGCTCTTAAGCGCAAAAAGCCGCTCACCTTAGAGACATTCATCGCTTGGCAATAAGCAAGAAGGCAAGGTACAAAATCACCTCGCTCAAGTGCCTGAGGCGCTAAAATGTGGCGCTTTTAAAACACTAAGCTACGCATACCCATGTCTGATCGTTTTCAGAATTTTCATGTCGAAGGCTCCTAGATACATAATTACGTAAAATAAATATCCTGAAAGTGTAGCGTTGATTGCCTTTGCATGCATCCCACTAAAGCAGTTATCCTAGGACTTCGGGGGGTGCGGGTGGTAAAGAATTTGGTGATGCATATGTTCTAATGGTTCCTTCAGCAACATTATGGTGTGAATATATGTGAAAACGTACCAACATGTATAAGTAAAACTTATTATAATTTTAAGTGTTTGCTTTAATCATATTAAATCTTTATTAAATTTTCCTCTAGATACCGAGAGTCTTGCCTTACTCATACCTCTCCCCTTCATGAAAATACGTACAAACCTACGCAATGAATTGTGTGAAATCAGATGAGTTCAGTTCTTAGCTATGATATTGCTTATCATCATTCACTGAGTTTATTCAAGAACTACGATATGTTAGGCAATTTAGACAAGTATAGTATGCATTCAAAAAGAGATGAGGAGAGCCAGAACTTGATCTCCAAGTCTGAGTTGTCAAAGGGGTACTCCTCGTTCCAGCAATTGAAGCAATAATATCTCCTATGTGAGTAAAAAATTTGTTCCACCTACAAGGCATGGAAGGTGTCTACCTCTATTTTGAATTGTCCCATTATGGCTTATTTATGTGTAATATTTTTTTGTTCACATAGGAAGAATGATATTTCTCGCAAGTGGGCCTAGTTTTTAAGCAAGAAGGATCTGCTCGATTGTCGTAGAACGTAACAAGTATTACCACTTGGGAACAAACTTACCGTCCTAGCAAGACCCAATATGGAAGTGTGCAAGCCTTAAAGTACATTCTCCCCCTTCATGTAGCTACATCTTTATCCATATATAATAAATTGCATTAAGGCTCTTACTCCAAAATGTATTTGTAATACACCTTGAATATCATCAGCAATATTGTTGCTTCAATTGCTTACACGACTAGTACCCCTTTGATAAACTCAAGCTTGTAAACCAAGTCCTGAGTCTCTTCACCTTTTTTCGAATACAACCCATACTTGTCTAAATTTCCCAACGTATGATAATTCTAGAATAAAGCCTTGCAAAATAAACCTAGTGAACGATGACGGACATTATCAATACTAAGAACATGAAATTTTAATAAAGTTTTAATATGACTAAAGTAAGCACTTAATGTACAATAAGTTTGCTTATATACCTCAATATATTCACATATATATTCACTGCATAAATGTTTTTAGAGAAACTACTATCTTAATCCTATCCACGTTCCCACATTCATGATAAACTTGTATGGTTGAATAACTCAGTTATATAGCTGTATGTGATCTTCTGCTTTTTAAAAAAAAACCGAGCTAGTTGATATATATCCAAATTAAGTTTGGTCAAAGTACTAAATCACATGCTATTGGGCCTCCTGAAATAAGGAAAAAAAAAGTTATTTCCTTCAATTTCAAGGTGAAACCATAAGAGTTTTCAAGTTTAAAGTTCAACTGTCTTTACCTTTTCCCTTTCCCTTAGAGCCATTTTTCCGTGGAGATTTTCTTATTTCCTCTTTCTCCCCCCTCAAATCCTCTATTAAAGTACATTCACTACTCAATCAACACATGTATATCTTGTTTTCTCTCTCATTAGCTCCTCTCTCTCAAAATCCTACAACAAAAGACCACTCTTCAAACAATCCATTGATCCCCAAAAGATCAAACTTTGACATCTGGATATGTTTCCATTCCTGATCTATCTCCTCTTCCTCAAGAAATCCCTTTTTACCCCAATAAAGTCTCATATTTTTCCAAAAGATATTTCCCAATGGAGAATAGTCACATTAGAGTTGAGGTGATATTTTGCTTGATCATTGTCACATTTTCGCTGCATTTTATGACATTGATCATACTTTGTTTCAGTGGTCCAAAAGATTCCAACACCCCCGACAAGGACAAAAAGGGAAAGGAAAATTATTCTTATGGGATCAGAAACCATCGGTGACGGAAGAAGACTAGCTTGCAACTCAGGCTACTCTTTCTGTGTAACATGCACATATTGAGGAGATGCATGATTTTTTGGTCTTAAAAGTTAAGAAGACATGTATATTGGGTTAGTAGTATGTGTGTTATACTGTGTGCATGCTTGTGTCTTTTTTTACTTTTTCTTTGCTCACTTTGGTATACTTGTTGTCATCATGTTAACTTATTAATCAAGAAAATGTTTTGATTTATATTTTAAAACTATTATTTCATCCTAAACAATTTTTAAACCAGCCCACTTTTAAAGTCATTCATACCCTAGAATACTTAGTCAGGATTATTTTTAAACCTAGATATGATATTACAATACCAAAACAATTTGAGCCAACAATAAAGTCCCATTTAGCAAATTGATAATCTACAATCAGCATCCTCATGTTCGGGTTTAAACGCAAGGCGTATAGCCTCCTCTAAAAATCATATAAACTCAGATTCTCACAATATCGTCTCCTGGCTTACTACCATGTGCACCATTTAGAGCCTCCTCTACAGTTGTCCTCTAAAAACATAAACTTCAATCCAACAACAACAACATAGTTTAGTACCATGAAGAGTCAACTATCAAGGCATTAACTCCATGCTTGAAGATAGAATGTCATGTTCACTACCATGTAGAGCCTTCTCTAAAATCATTAGCTCTATGTCCAACAATAGCATGTGATGTTCACTATTATGCAAAGTCTCTCCCCGTAAGAGCATTAACTCTAAGTTTGCCAAAGCATATGATGGTTCACTCACACAAGCCCACAATGACAAAAACTCTATATCTTCTCTAAAACCCTACCGGGTAGCAAAAAAATGGAACTTTAGGTTCAACCCTAGCCATGTGAGGAGACTTAAATTTTATCAAAACTATTAGTTCTGAGCTAGTGATGGTAGTAGATTTTTCAATTGCAACCAATCTAAAAATGGGCTATAATTTAAAACTTTTTAGCGCAAAGGGGTATCACTTCTTTTCACAATATATACATCTAGCATTTTATTACGATCGCCAAGATTGATCTATATCGTATAAAAGTCATCATATTTTCAAAATCCTTTTTCCAAATTAAGTTATTCCTCTGCGTCAATCCAAATGATTTAGCTTCATTTTCTTTGTCTAGTCAAACTACCTTCCAATACTGGGGTCCTAATAAAAGAAAATATCAGGGACTAGCAAGAGGCATTTTCTAGTAGATATATATTATACATATTATATAAAATAAATAAATAAACTAGTCAAAATTAGTCATAAACAAAATAAATTAAGTTTTAGAATCGCTGGTCTGTGAGTGGCAATCATGATCATTAAAGAATAGAAAACATCACATTCAAAAAATATATATAATTTTCTCTTACAAACATCTTAACACCTCACTTTGTCCTTTATTAAATAATTCACTATCTTTCCGAATAAAGTGAAAATATTTTTCAATTTGTTTATAAAATTAAGAAAGAAGTTAATGGGCATCATATATCATACAAGGAGATTCTCTCATATACAATGATGTGGATGAATCTCAACCAAGTGTAATTATGAGGTTTCTCTCTAATACTTTATTCACTGGTTGAGAATGAGCCACATCATTCCCATATGAGCCCCTCTCGAGAGGCTCATAGGACAATGATACACAATATTCTCATCAAGAAAAATACAAAACAATAATTTTTCACCACATGCATATGCACATGTCAGATTTCTAGTAGAATTAAAGGACACCCTTAAGGTCTAGAAGTAATCTATGCGTAAAAATATTAAAAACAAAATACAATTTATTATATATGTGACATAAATACGAGTACAAAAATAGATTTTGTACCAAGTCTATCAATTAAATTGTCTGACTTGGATTATATGTCCTTTGATTTATCTTATACATTAAATTTAAAACTTTATTTCTATAAGGTTCACTTGGAGAAATTTTCTCTTTATTTGGATTGGTTTCAACTTCTTCTAATTGCGGCCACCATTCATTAACTTCAACTATCTTCCCCCTAAATTTTGGATGGAAGAAAATATGATGTACATTTTATATTACTCCCTTATAAGTTATGAAGCACGTAGCTTGGATACGTGTACTGGTGATATTGGATTCTTTTAACTCCGAACTTAAACCATTGTTATTTGACATTCAATTATTCTGCTATTTTGTTAAAATACCCTGTTTAACTTGAGTGAATAAGATGTATAAAATCGTTTTAAGTTTATTGTATCTTTTCTTGACACTAAAGTGCAGTCGTCTTGGGAAATTTTAGAGAACAAATTAGTGTAGTCGGGAAGGCATGGAAGTATAACAAGTATCCGGTTTTGTAATTAGTCACATAATTTGGGGATTCTTTCCTGAATTTGTACATTCTGATTTAGAAAATTTATAGAAATAACATTTTGAATTGCTACAATGAGTGTGGCTTTAGTAGGCTCCCAACGCCAAACTTTCCCCATAATTAGAAATGCAGGTAATATAACCAAAGGACATCATATAAGACTAGATGTAACCTTTTAGCACAAGGGTCGAAAACAAAAATACAACTTATGTGGTACGTGCATGAATATAATGTAATGTGGGCGTTATTCCAAGACTCTCCATTCATTGGACTGATATGGGCTATTAGCCACTTGTTTTATCAAATGAAATTTGAACACTTTTTTAACTGAATAAATAAGCTGTGGTTCCAACGTCCTACAGCTTTTACGTGAAGTAATTTATTCAAGGTTCCAATGTTCTAAAACTTTTACTGAATAAATAAGTTGTGGTTGCTGTGAAAAAGACATACTAATATCTCAGGTCTTTAATCTGGTAATATTTGCAAGTCAGCAATCTGAAGTTTTCCAAGGCCATGCTTGGGCAGTATGCGCTACACTTGCAAGAGAAAAGAAAATCTCTTAACTAGGTTTCAAAGCCCAACAACTAAATCCTTACAACTATCCTGTATTCGTTTCATCAGCTTGTTAAGCTACAATGACTCCAGAAACCCTTCACAAAAGTAAATAAACAACAATATTATGTGAAAGCAGACAAATCAGAGTAACCTACAATATATTTCACGTGAAAACACCAGTCCTTTGCGTGGTTTGCTCAGCTTGAAAAATTGCAAGCTCGTTAGAACAATGTAACATGCAATCATTAATAAGATATCACTTACTCTTTTGAGAATGTTGACTCTATCTTGCAGACCATCAACAGCTCTCTCATTTTCATGTTCATCAATTTCATGAGACGAGTAGGCTCGGATCCCACCTTCCTCAATTCCATCAAATAAAGCAGCTCTGTTGCTGCGGTTGTCCCTGTACATCATCAACACTCAAAACAGTACTAAGATACCGAGTAGCAAAGAAGCCAACTTGCAGTATACCCCATCTACGCCTTCGGGTACCAAAAGTATTTCTGATGCACACCCACTCAAGCATATGTAGACCAGTGTAGTTTATGAGGATACAACAGTACTAAATGCAATGTCATACATCAAAAAGCGCACATAGAATAATGGGTTATTTCCGCATCAAAACCCCCAAACTTTCACCTTCTCTCAACTTTGACATGCTGAAGTTCTATTTTAACAATTTGACACCCAAAGCCCTAATCTTTTTCCTAAATTTCCCCGAGCTCAAACATCTGAAATTTGGTAGGAAGGTTGTTTCTCATCTACTTTACTATGCAGATATTCTTGAACAAAATTAACACAAAATCTTTGCACTCTGACGCCCCAAAATTTCAAAATAGAAGAACATTCGGGGTATCAATGTGCAAACAACCCTAGAATCATTATGAAGTCGAAGTGAAGCTCTCACAGGAAATTACAAGATGGAATATAAATCAATGGGAAAATAAACATTCGAGGAGCAGTAATTATGGGAATAGAAGAAAGAACCTTCTCGGATGCATGGATCCAGCAGAGATTTGTTAGGCCCCTTTTTGCAAGGAAAAGTTTTTTGATGGTCCGGATGCAAATCCTTAACCAAAAATAAAATAAAATAAAATTAAATAAGAGAAATTAAATAGATAGATCGATCGTCGAAAGGAATTGGAAAAGGGAGGGGATATATTACCAAGGTTGGTTAAGGGAAGGAGAGCTGGGGGTGGCGATCGTATTCTTTCCGAGGAGAAGGAAGGAGAAAAGCGATGGTTGGCCCACTTCTATTTTCATTATTTTACCCGCATTATTTAGTTGTCGTAGCAACCGGATCCGTGGCGCAATGGTAGCGCGTCTGACTCCAGATCAGAAGGTTGCGTGTTCGATTCACGTCGGGTTCAAATCCCTCCACCGGATCAACATTTTTTGTCTTTTATGTAATTTTTATTTGGCATATTTGCACTTTCACGCTCTGATGCTTCTACATTTTTGGGATCTTTGCGCTTAAATACCCTACAGTCACAATTTACCCATTTTTAGGTTTGATACTTCAATTTTATTTTCTTCAAAAAATTATTACGCCTTGCTTTAACTTTTTTGGATTATTTGCCCTTAAATACATCACAACTTAACCGCTTTTAAGTTTGATGCCTCGAACATTTTTTATTCAAAACATTAGTTTAAAGCTCAAATGAACATAACTTGGATGGTAGGGCAATTTTTTGTTTCAATTACTGTAGCCTAGTTTGTATCTTAGAACATAAAACTCTTTTCTACTAGTTGTCAATACCTTTCTTGGTCTGTGATCATTTTCATAATGGGGCTTCTCACAATCTTTTTTAGCATTATGGTGATATGTTTTCTCCTAGCTTCTACAGAGCTTAGCATCAAAGTGTCAAAGATGTTATTTATGGTCTATTTTGTGCAAAAGATAAATTTGGCTTATTTGCACTTCAATGCCCTAAACTCTACTCTATTTTATCTTTGATAACTTAAAGTTTTTCTTTTCCAAAGAACGCCCTCAAACTAACCAAATAATAATAACTTTGGTAGCCCAAACCTTAACAAGCATTTACCTTGATATCCCAAACTTTAACTAAAATTTAGCAAAAAAGTTTATGTTTAGAGTATCAAAGTTAAGTTTTTGTTTAACTATGTAGTATTTTCCAAACAAAAGAACTTTAGAGTTATGTTAAAATGAGGAGTCTTTGGGGAAAAAACTTCAAGAAAAAGCTCCTCCAAGAGAAAATATCTTCATATAAGTAGGGTTGTCCATCCGGGCCGGGCCGGGCGAAACCGGAACTCGGGCCCGGGCTTGAGTGGGCCGGGCTCCGGGCCGGCCCGGTTTTCTTTATTATTACTTTTTTTACTTTTTAAAATTATTAAAGAAAACAAAGCAAAAAATAAACACAATTTTTATAAAAAATTATATTATTAATCATTATGTAATTTACAAATATAAAAAATTATAGAACTTAAAATGATATAAAATAATTGTAGATTTTATAGAAACAAACAAAATTAAAAATAATTGTGGCTAGGATTTGAACCACTAAATCTCCTTTCCAAACTCCTAAATTTTACCACTAGACTAAGTAGCCAAAGTATTCATGTTATTCATATATTGTACATAAACAAATTGTAAATACTTATAGAAATTACATAAACAAATTGTATTATACATAAACATATATATGTACACATATAAGTATATTTATATAAGAGTATAAATATATATAAAAGTATTCATGTTATTCATATATTGTACATAAACAAATTGTAAATACTTATAGAAATTACATAAACAAATTGTATTATACATAAACATATATATGTACACATATAAGTATATTTATATAAGAGTATAAATATATATATATATATATATATAATTGTACATAAACAAATTGTAAATACTTATAGAAATTACATAAACAAATTGTATTATACATAAACATATATATGTACACATATAAGTATATTTATATAAGAGTATAAATATATATA